TGCCGAGGGGGGGGGAGGCTGAATGAATGACATTTTCTGGGATTTTGGGATTTCTGCTTTTCCAGGGAATTCGCGGCGCGGTTTCAGCCCCGCCCTGGATCCCGCTCGCCTGTCGTGGGGCGTTTTAGGTCCGGTGAAGTGGCTGCTTTAGTCTGACACAGGAACTGTTCAGACTTTTAAAATTAAATAAATTAAAAATTGCCTCCAGGCAGCGTGGCATTTTCTGCACCAGACGCTATTATTTCTCTTCTTTTTATTTATAGTGCATAAAGCCCATAAATAGTGCTCCGGATTGGAGTAACACCTCTCATATTATTACTATTATTCTCCACCTCACTCCCATATGGAGCGCTGAAGAATAATTATTAATGAGTAATTATGCAAATATTCTATTGCATATGCAAATCAGGGGATAAATTTGCATATGCAATAGAATTTGCATAATTACTTCTGCCACCCTACAGTAAATACCAAAGACCTGCAGCACATAGAACTGCAAAAAAAGAGCAAAAATAAAAGAAAAACAAACACAAATACATGTATAAAACAGAATGTCATTGGAAGAGTCAAAAGCTGAACCACAAGTCAGGGTGGGATTTCCCCTCCCTAAAGCTTCCTCTGTGCTTCCTGCATCCACGTGGCCCTGCAAAGCCCCGCAATGGATGGATGTGCTGGTTGTAAATATTTACCTATTGCACAGCCCTTCCCTCAGGCTCCTGAGGTTCTGACTGGGGACACACCTGCAAATCACTCTTTATTCTTACACAGATCTTAAAACCCAACTCCAGTTCATGTTCTGCACTAAACCAGGCTCTTGGTTGGCTTTCAGGGCTGTGAGCCAGGTTTTACCCACAAACATGCTGCTGTTCTGGAAAACAAATGCAATTTATTATTGGATGTTTCCTTGACCCCCCATTCCAGTAACATGTTTAAAATACGGTATAAAAATCATCAGGTGCTGTAGAAACCGTTGGCAATGATGAAGTGCTTGTCCTGCAGGTTTATTTGGACATTTTGCTATATAAAAATGTCACCTCCTTTTACATCTCACAACTTCTCCTTGCACATAAAATAGCTGTAAACAATTTACTACCAAAAATTCTTCTGCCATTTCACCCTCCTGTGAAGGAATGAGAATTCCTCAGTTTTTGCTCTTTCCCCAACTAATAAATAGAAGCCACTGGAGCCAGTGAAGGGAAATGTTACAGAAGCCTTCAAATGTCTTCCTGCTCTCCATGACCTTTCTGAACATGGACCTGAGGAAGTCTTTGTCAAAGCTGGTTTTTCCCCCCCAGATTTCCTCCCCAGCTGCCCCCACCATGGAGCAGGACAGGATGGAGCTGAGGATTCCAGGGAACAGATGTGGCAAAGCATTCTCCAGCTCATGAACACTTTGCCTGTAGTGTTTGTCGAGAGGTTTTTCTCCTGTACCCACTGTCCTCAGTGATTTCTGTGCAGCACAAGCCCCCACAGGATGGGCAGCAGGGAAGGGGAATTCACCTGGTGCATCCTGGGGTGCTTCAGGAGGGAGGCAAAGCCTTGAGCACACAGAGCTTTCAGGACAGAACAGCTCTTCAGCACAGCCAGCTCAGTGCAGCCAATATTCCCAGCCTGGCACATTCCAGTGCAGCCCCAGCAAGGCTGACTGGGCCAGGAGGGCTCAGTGCCTCCTTGCCACGTGCCCAGGCCCAGGTTTTACAGAACCAGAGTCAGTTTTACAGGACTGGTGTCCCCCACTGCAGCTCTTGTATGGCTTTAGAGTCTGATGTCCCACACAGCTCCTGCTGGCTCAGTGCCAGCATTTGGCCCCACCAATCCAGTTTTTCTGTGCTTGCCATGGGATGGCACCACTGATGAGACCAGTTCACTCTGCATGTTGTAGAGCAGTAAAGCAGAAAGAAAACTTCTGATGCACACACTGGGAATCTGTTTAAAGATTGGAATTACAGATTTCTGTCAGTTTTCTTCTTTCTGCTGGTTCTCTTCTCTGGTGGCTGGTGGAGATGGTCAGGGCTGATGTTCTGCCAGTTCATGGTTTAATTTTCCATAACTGCAAAGAGACAAGAAAGGGAGTTTGGGTCTAACAGGAATGGTTTCACCTCCAAGTAACATTCTGTGTCTCCTGCCCATCCTGCTCTGCTCAGTGAGCTCCAGTTTCAGGGTGAGCCCCAGGATGATAAAGGGAGGAACCCTGGATTCTCACAGCTTCACCTGCAGGAACTGAAACGGAAGTGAGCCCTGTCCTTCCCCCCAAACCTGGCCCAGGGAGGTGGGGACACACCCAGCAGGGTCTGGGGTCTGGGTCCCAGTGCAAACCAGGGCTGTGACCCCAGAGGTGTCCCCAGAGCTGTCCTGCTGCCTGGGACAGGGACACTCACTCTGATGTTGAATCCCAGCAGGTCACTGATCACTCCTGAGACAGCAGAGAGGATGACAACCCGTGTGATGTTGTAGATCAGTGGGTTCATGGTCAGTCCATACAGCCTGAATGGACTATCCAGCTCCTGCAGGGACAGGACAAGGCTCCATCAGCACTCCCCAGTACAGAGAATTCACCCTCTGACTTTAGCTCAGCACTGGCACTCCCACAGACTGGGCTGCCTCTGTGTCCTTTCTTAGACTGAATTTCCAGTGTTCCAGAGACATCTCCTGCTGAATCCAAAGGCTCTGCAGCTGCCCCAGAGCTGCAGAATCACCCAGCCCAATGTGGGGACTCCCAGACTCTGCTCACCCCGTTCCCAAACCCCTCCCTGGTGCTGGCACTGAGGAGCATCAGAGCTGCTGCAGGAAAATGAGACTGGAGCAGTGAGGAGCAGCTGTGCCCACCCCAGCCTCTCCTCTCAGCTAATCCACTCTCATCAGGAGTTCCCAGCACTAATTACCCACACCGGCCTTGTGTGCTCCCTCTCCAGTCACAGCTGCAGCAGCACTGAAAAATCCCCTCTGTGAGCACTAACTCAGAGAGCCAAGGGCAGGGCAGGGCCCCATGGCACTGCCATAACTCCTTTCTGCCATTCAGGCACAGCCTCTCACCTTCAGCAGCTTTGTGGACAGTTTCAGCACATTGTTCACCAGAGACAGCTGCTCCTTCTTGTTTGGCTTCTTCTCCATCTTCAGGTACAGGTTTATCTGTGACAGACACCACAGGCCAGGGTTGATATTCCAGCACCAGCCCCAAATGGTTCCTAACTAAATTGGAGCCAATTTTGCAGTCTGCTGTCACTCCTGAGGTAGTGAATTTAGCACTGATTCTTTTCCAATTGTTTTGGTTAACACACATGAACCCAGAGTTCAAAATAATCCAGAACTCTGGAGTTTGAGTCTGGCCCAACAGGACCAGCTCATCCCCCCCATGCTGACCAGGGCTTTGCTGCCTTCTGGCCAACACAAGGTTGATCTCTACATTTTAAACTTTGATTCTAGTATTTAAGCTGGTTTGAAATACAATAATTCTATCCAAACAAAGCACAAAGCCCAGGGGAGAACAAGCTGGAGGGAATTACCTGCTCAGTGAGTAGGATGGAAATGTTGCTGTATTTCTTGTTGGTCTCAGAGCCCAGAGATGCCAGACGCAGCAGGAAGAGGAGCAGTGCTGCCTCCCACATCAGGAACTCCCAGTTGTAAGCTGCACTCAGAAAGGTTTTGTGGCCCTTAAGAACCTGTGTGGGGAGAAAACAAAGCACCAAATGTCACTGACTAAGTGCCTGTTCTTGGTGCACAAGCACTGCCCTTGCTGCTCCTCTGGCCAGCCCTGTGTGCTCTACAGGCACTGACAGCTCTTCTCAGGAAGTGTAAATCACTCCTGACACGGGGTTACAGGGAAAGGTCTCATTTCTAACCTGCCTTTAGCTTGGAATCGGATATTTTTTCTTTCTGCTCAGAAAAGGAGCCTTGTTCCTCCTCTTCCCTCCCTCTGTCCAACCAACAGGCAATGAAGTGCCTTTCCTTGTCCCTCTGGCAGTCTCAGCCTTTTGTAGGCTGGCAAAAGAAAAGCCTCCAGCACTTGGGAAGGTTTTTCCTACTTTATAAACCACAAAGGTTAAAATCTCACCTGGGCACAGCAGATAAAAGCAATTGAGAGAGCCAGTAAGAAGACTGAGGACACCACAACATCCACAGACCTCTGGGGGCCTCGTCTCTGCAGGAACAAGCACACAGGGGCAGGGCTGGGTGTGGTGTGCAGGCAAAACTCACCACAAACAGCTGGCACTGCCACTGGCACTGCCACTGGCACCCCCTCTGCAATAACCAAACCCCAGATCAGGACTCACCTTCAGGTAGGAGCGAAGGGATAACCAGATCTTGATGTTCTCCACCTTCTTGAGCCTGAAGTGAGGGATTTCGTATTTCCTGGCTTTCCGAGCAGATGTGATGTGACTGAAGAGCTTGGCAAACAAAAACCTCTGCAAGGTAAAACCAGAGCCATAAATTAGTGTAAAAAAACAGAACAGACTGCTTGGGATTCTCAGTGGTACCTGGCAAAAAGGGTCACTGGGGAAGCTCAGCATGAGACCTGGGTGCTCAACCTCTGTAGCAGCAGTTGTTTTCATAGAATTCCAGATTGGTTTGTATTGGGAGGGACCTTAAAGCTCATCCTTTTCCAGCCCTTGCCACAGGCAGGGACACCTTCCCTTCAAGTTGCTCCAAGCCCTGTCCAACCTGGCCTTTAAGCCTTCCAGGGATGGGGCAGCCACAGCTGCTCTGGGCAGCAGAGAGGGGGCACAGTAAGACCTTGGGGACAGGTAAGGGGGGAACAGAGGAGTCAGGAATGGTATTGATTGGTATAATTTGTGAGTGATCAATAAGAACCTTCCCAGACTCCCCTCCCTGACCTTGGCAAGGGCTGGGGTGAGATGAGCTTTAAGGTCATCATCCCATTTTTATTCCTGCTCTCCAGGTTGCTGAAAGGCACCAGCACCTTCAAACCCACCTGCTTGTAGGTTCTCTCAGCAACACACATCATGAAGAAGAACATCCAGGTCAAGCACAGCCTTTCCAGGAAGTTGATGGCAGCCAGGATGAGCACAGGGGTGCTGACAGGGGCTCCACAGAAGATGTGCAGAAGCTCCATCAGAGAGATGGAGCAGAGCTGCTCCAGGTTGTCCGTGCGGAACAGTCTGTAGAGGAATGGCAGGAAGGCCAATCCGATGGTGATGATGTTTCCCAGCATTTGATACCCCACTCCTTGCTGGTGGGCATTAACCTGGCAAGCAGGAATAGAAAAGGGGTGATTACCTGGGGTTTGCATCAAGGAAAAGGCCTGTTGTTGTGGCAGCACCAATTCAGACAAGCAGTCAGTTCCCCTTCCCTTCACAGGACAGAGACAAAATAACCCCACCCCTTTCAGTCCAAACCCAAAACCAATCAGCCAAATAATCAACCCCCCCCTTTCAGCACCCTGCAGAGACAATCAGAGATAATCAGCACTTGGCAGTCTTCAAGAGACCTCCTAAATAGAGGGTTAGACAATTTTCCAATAAGAACACGTGGGACAACCATCTTTGAAGCTGGAGAGGGATGAGTTTCACACTGCCCCTAATATTTGCATGTGTAGCTATTTCCAGGGGTTTGGTGGTTGTTTCCTGAAGTGGGAGGGAGAGGCTGCAATGCCACACAGCCCCCTTACCCTGCTCATGATAATGCCACTGATCTCCAGCACAGACATGTCCACCTTCTTGCAGTCATTCCCTTCCCAGATCAGAGCACTCACTTTGGCAGACGCTGGGCTGGTGTTCTGCAGCCAAAACAGATGGTTCTAGAAAAGAGAGAGGAGAGCAGAAGCTGGCTCAGCTCTTTCTGTCCTGCTGTAAGTAACACCTTTGCCTGGAACTCATTTGGATTGAGGGGGAAATTCCATTTTGGGTTCAATACTTTGTTTTGGGATAAGCGGCCCTGCAGAGGGGAGGGATAGACTTGACTGATACAATTTCAGATTTCCAGTGTGACTGGCTTCACCCAGGCTGCTCACCTTATACCAACAGCATCCCCGTGTGCCACTCATGTTTGGGAAGATGGGGAAGAGGAGAAGCCCTCCCAGCTCCCGGATGGACATCACCAACCTGCTGGAACACGTCCTCCTTGGGGTCCCGGCGGGAGTCCCTGCGGGAGCGCTCCTCGCTGTCGCTGGTGCCCGAGGAGCGGCACTCGGGGCCGTGCAGGA